TGGTGAAGATCAAAGATCACAGCCTTCGATATGGATTACATCTCAATGTAAAGAAAACAAAAATCCTCACCACTGGACCAATAAACAACATTCTTATCAGTGGAGAAAAGATTGAAGGGAAAGAAAATCCATAGCTCACAATTAATTGAAGGACTTCATTCTTCTTGGATCAACTATCAATACTCATGGAAGCAGCAGTCAAGAAATCAAATGACATGTTGCATTAGGCAAATCTGCTTCACAAGACCTTTTTAAAGTGTTGAAGAGCAAAGATGTCAGTTTGAGAACTAAGGTGTGCCTGACCCAAGCCATGATGTTTTCAATAACATTATGTGCCATGTGAGCGCTGGACAGTGAGTAAGGAAGACCATAGGAGAATTGATGCTTTTGAGTTATGCTGTTGGGGGAGAATATTGAAAGTGCCATGGACTGCCAAAAAACCACACAGATCTGTGTTGGAAGAAGGTGTAGCCAGGGTGTTCCTTGGAGGCCAGGATGGCCAAATTTCATCTCTCATACTTCGTACATATTGTCAGGAGGGACCAGTCGCTGGAGAAGGATATCATGTTTGGTAAGGTGGAGGGTCAGAGAAAAAGAGGAAGACCCCCCAATGAGATGGATTGGCCAAGTGGCAGCATCAACGGGGTCAAGTGTAGCAACAATTGTGAGGTTGGCCCAGAACCAGGCAGTGTTTGGTTCTTTTGTGCATAGGGTTGCTGTGAGTCGGTATTGCCTCAATGGCAGCTAACAACAACAACCATTCAGAACTTGACTGCCTCTCCTCCCTAGTCTGGAAGCACCACTGAAATCTGATCACCATGAGGGACTCTTGTGGTATTTATGTGCATAGCTTCCATCTTTATAGCAACCCATACATACTCCCAGAGTACAGCAGACTAGCAGACGAGTGGTGGAAAGCATGTAACTAGTCCAATAATAATAATACAATGATTAATCTTGAGAGTGCAGCCAAGAGCTATTGCTATTGTGTGACTAACTAAAAGACATCTGAATAGGGGGACTCGACTATAGGAGATTTGAATGCCACCAAGTGACTTTCTGGAGGATTTGTCTGATACCTTGTTTTCTAAGCATAGCAAGAATTTTCCTTATGGGGCTAAAAGGTAATGTAGAAGTATTCTATTAATGCAACATTAGCAAGAGATTCTAAAGCGGTTTGTGGTGCTAACATTCCATCTACAATCTCATCAGCCGTTTGAGCCACAGTAGCTGAATTTGCAGATAGATTCCTCAAGCTACCATAGTTGAGTAGGAGTGCTCAAATGAACTCTCAACTGTTCATGGTTTTTTTAGCTATTTGGTTATGTAATTCCAAATGAAAATGTTCAGATTAATAGTTCAATTTAAATACTTCTAAAAAGTCTAATATGAAAGTTTACAGAGCAGATTAACTAATTCTCATTCAACAGTCTGTACACATTTTGTTTCATGACATCGGTTGCAATGCCCTCGTTATCACAACAGTTTTCCCACTTTTTCCATTGGTTCTTCATTTCCATTTGCCTATGTTTCTTACCCCTTCCTGCCTTCTGAACTTTGTTTTTGGGCAAATGATGCCTTTTTGGTTTCATATAATTGAGTGTTCTGAGGAGAGCTTGTTCTCTATGATTTATTGTTCATTTCATAGGCCTGTCTGTATTGGCTGAAAGGAGTGGCTTCGGTTTAAACAATGCCTAAGGGTCATAGTCTTGGAGTCCTGGTGTGGCGCTGTGGGTTAATGCGCCAGACTGCAAAGCCATTTGAACTGCAAGGTCAGCGGTTCAGGCTCAACAGCTGCTCCTTGGAAACCCTATACCGGGTCGCTATGGGTCGGAATCGACTCGACAGCACTTGATAACAACAACAACAAGGGTCATAGTCTTATGAGTTCTTTTACTCTATTGAGCCTGTAAATTAAGTTTTTTTTAAGATTTTGAATTTTGCTCTGCATTTTTCTTCCACTCTTTCCAGGACCTTCATTTTGATCCCTGTTAAAGTGGTCACTAGTTGTAGCTGGGCCCCATCTAGTTGTTCTGGTCTCAGACTAGTGGAGGCTGTCGTTTGTGTGGTCCATTAGCCCTTTGGACTGATTATCTTTTAATGGGGCAAGAAGAAATGCTGAACTTTACCAAACCAGACAAAATAGGTAGGAAGAACCGAGGACTAACATTGCCTGTGTGGGTGAAATGCTGTTGCAGATATGAATAAAACAGCATGACGTTCCCTTGGTCATAGGCCAAGGAAATAGGAATACCAGAGATCTCTTTAGTCTGTGAAAGTGCAAAGTCACCAAGTCTTCACTGGGCATTTCACTGTATGTTGGAAAAAGCTGTTTTAACTTTTTGCACTTGGTGATATTTTCCTTAGATTGGGCTATCATTAGCACTACTGCCAATTATAAAAAGAAGCGTTAAATTGAAAATAAATTATAATGTCCCATTATACCTCTGGAAATGAAATCCTGGTGTGACTCTGTAGGATAAGCACTGAACTGCTAACTGCAAGGCTGGTGGTTCAATCCTACCAGCCACTCTTAGAAACCTTATATAGGATCACTGAGTCCAAACCATCTTGACAGCAATTAACAACACTATATATACCTTTGGAAATGGAAATGCATAGAATTCCTAAATCTGGTTTTTCAAAATTATATGAGGTGTATTTTTGTTTTATTTTGTTGGGAGATTGCAGTAACATTTGTTTTATTAATTGTGAGCTATGGATTTTCTTTACCTTGTATTTATAAACAGTGTTTTGGGGGTGGGTGGGTGGTAGTCACTAGCTTTGTTCTGTTTTCTTGTTTGTTTGTCATGTCATATCTGCAGACAGTAGAGTAATAGAGAGTTCATGAAGAATATTAGCAAAGTTGACCCAGATCTGTCCATGTTGCTATCCACCCCAAAGTACTTTTTCAGGTTTTTTTTTTTTCTTTATTATTGGAAACGAGCATTACTGGCTTCTCCTATCCTACTGGAAAGTTGTTGAAATTCATGTTTGAATGAAAGATTAAAGGGATTGGCCAGAAAAAGGTTTTCATTAGGTAATTCTTAGAATAACCATTCCAGTTTTTTCTGTTTTTTAAAAAAAGTATGTCATTATATATTTTCCCTCAGAGAATCATTTTCTTAGCAGAAAATGTAGGTAAGTTAAGAAGAATCAAGATGATAAAATTGTCTTTGACCCTGTCTGTTAATGTGACAGACTTCAATTTTTCATATAAAGAATAGTTATAATAGAATATTGTTATGAAGATTCAGAGAAGTGGGAAGGCAGGTATTTAAATGTCCTGTGCTCTTAATAATAAATGACCTTCATATTCCAAAATTGAGAATGTTGATTGAGTTTTTTAAAGTACATCAAGGAAAATTAATGCTGCAAACAAGGCATTATGCTTGCTTTGTATATAATTGAATTAAAGCAGTCTTTATTTTTTAGGGGACCCACGGAGGCCGTATCCAACAGATTTAGAAATGAGAAGTGGATTGTTGGGTCAGATGAACAATCCGTCCACTAATGGTGTGAATGGGCATTTACCAGGGGATGCACTCGCAGCAGGCAGGTTGCCAGGTATGTTTTCAAACACAAGGAGGTTTTTCAGATATGAAATTGTGTGATACAGGCTTATTGAACAAATTTGAGATCCACTGATGGGCTTTGAACTGGTTTAACCCCTTGCTGAGATTTGCATTTCCACCACAGATACACTGAATTATAATTTACATTTTAACACTTATACATAAGCATCACCATCTGGGGATCTTGTTAAAATGTAGGTTCTTATTCATTATATCTAGAGTGGAAATGCAAAGTTTCATTTAGGGGCTAAACCAAACCCAATTCATTTTAATAGCTAGAAGCTCTGCCCGTTGATCTTCTTTTCTGGTTATTCAAGTTTTTGTCTAATTTAGTTTAGAAAAACAAGTTTTTCTTGTAGTGCAAGAGGGCTGGAAACATAGAAAAAGTACATTTTCCTTGCAGAAAATCACTCCAAAGTACAAATATTTCTGTCACTTTTCTTTCTTAAGTTGCAGTTCCCAGAGAGATAAGCAAACCTTCTCTCTTTGCTTTTTCCTTCAAAGGTCTTTGTGAAGGAAGGTCAGTGTCTTTTTCCATCAGTAGTGGGAAGGAATAGATGATTTTAATAGCTTTCTAAAATCGCAATTCTGTGAGCCTCTGCTCTCTCTGAGCTTTAATCTTTCTAGTTTTTTCTAGAAACTTGTGCTGTTTTTGTATTTGTTTTCTATCTTTGCCTATTGTTAGGTGATTTGTTTTGTTTTAGTATGATAAAACATTTGGAAAGGGGGGGAAAAATCACCCTTTTAATTTTTGTTAACTGCGTAAAGTAGAAACTGATGAACTCATTGCATATGTTATTTCTCTTTGCTATCTACAAGTCTTTTTTTTTTTTTCTTTATTTCTTCCCCTACTATATTATTTTGCTGTTGAAAAGCATGCACAGTAAAACATACACCAGTTTAGTCGTTTCTCTATATACAGTTAGTGCCACTGATTGTATTCTGAGTTGCACAAACATTTTCACTCTCCATTTCTAAGTGGCTCCTCTTCCAACTGCTCAGACTGATTTAGTTGTAGTCAGTGATGTGAAATTTCATCAGACCCAAATTGTTAAAATTTGGGTGAAGTAGAATAACCATGAAGGTGGGAAAAATATCGGTGGAAGTCCTGGAATGACAGTCTTGGAGGAGACATTCTGAGCCTTCCAGCATCCTGATGCAGGAGATTAGATCACTGTCAATCTCTGTATTGAATGTGGAGAGCAGCACACTGTCAGAGCAGGGCAGTATTGTGTCTGACTGCTGGTAAGAAATTTGGATGCTATGCAACATATGAACTGCCCTTGTTTTCCAAGAGTAAGATTGACTTTCTAGCAGAATGTTGACCTGTGATTTTTCCCATTCTGGTTATCATCCCAGTTCAACTACAGTTTACAAATTCAGGTCCTTTCTGATTTCTCTTATTGACAGTAACTGAACCGATAGATAACAAAAATTCATTGCTTCCTATGATTCCTTTTCAAGTTACTGTTGTCTATTTGGTGCCATGTAGTTTTTAAAAGAGCTGAATGCTCTAGGCAGACATCTTTCTTTCCTAGGTAAGTTAATCTCCCCATCTTTTCTGTGTTTATATTGTGTTATGTGCTTGCTATTCATGGTCCAGTCAGGAGACAGAACCCACACCAGTAATCTAAAGTCTCTAACAAGGGACATTTAAAGAAGTCTTAGCTGGAACAAGGTATTAACTATTGAGCGATAAAGGTAGGACTTTGTTTTTCAAAATATAAGAACAGCAGACCAGGGAGCAACCGCTACATCTACAAGGCAGAATTCCCAAGGAAGGGACAAACGTAGAAAAGGTTGCCTTCCCTGCACATCCCAAAATTGTTCATTGAGACTTCAATGGGAGGTTGGTGGCTGTGACCCACTGAATGGCAAGGACAAGGATGTTAGATAAATTGCCCCAGGCCTGAGCTAGCAAGCAGGAAATTGTAAACCCAGAGTTGCCAGGGAGACTTGCTGGGAAGCTGCCCTCTGGGATACTCCTCAAGTCTACAGGAAATACCCTCTGGGCTGCCTCTGAAACTTTGCACATGTGAGCTAGGCACTACTGCAGGAGTGAGAAGAAAAAGCAAAAATCCTCTTGCTGACAAGCCTAACACTGCCATCTGGTGGTAGAAGAGAAATGTTCTCGTGGTCCTGCTCTGCTATCCCAAAGCTGGGCAAAGGGAGGCCTTGAAGCTAAGAGGCAGCGCCTTGGTAGCTGGCACTCTTATCCTAGTTAATGTCATACCCCTTTCTCTTCACATTTTTTAAAATTTACCTTCATTCTGTCCTGAACTGTACCTGTTTATATGCCATCTTGCTTTTCTTTCAAAATGTAGACTATTAATGTGGCTTGGATACTTCCTTTTAAGCTACCTTATACTGACACATTGTTAATCACCTTCTTTTTGAGCAGAATGATAGCTTAGATCTCCTGGCTTCTAAGAAATGATTCAAACCTATGATAGAGCCCACTGCCATCAAGTCAATTTCAATTTATAGCAGCTCTACACAGTTTATGATCATGCTGGTAGAGATAATGTCGTTTCTATTTACAACAGAACAGAATAATATATATAATTTAATATATCATTTATGTGCAGATAATATATCCCTTAAGTATCATGTATCCAAATGCTAAAACATCACACTTTTGCTTGATAAATTGCATATTTTCTCAAATGGGTATTTTGATTTTTAAGCCTTAAAAATATTTACTTCAAATTATTTGCCTAAAGAGAAGAGTCGTTAAAAAGTAAGATTGATTACCATTAGAAATGTTCTCTATGTGCACCTTTCTGTTCCCCAGATGTCCTTGCTCCTCAGTACCCATGGCAGTCCAGTGACATGGCAATGAACATGTTACCACCCAATCACAGTAACGACTTCCTGTTGGAACCTCCTGGGCATAACAAAGAAAACGAAGATGATGTAGAGGTGATGTCAACAGACTCCTCAAGTAGCAGTAGTGACTCTGATTAAACGGAAAAGGCAAAAAGCGTACAGGGCAACATACGCTGCAAACTGGGAAGAGTAGCCCAGTAAATATTGGCTATTGTTGAATTAAACAGCTTATTAAAAATTATAGGGAACTTTTTTCAGTCAAAAATCATCGTTTCAATCCTAATCCACTAAGCAAATATTTAGGGAGTATTCAACATTTCCTGTTGGAATAAAAAGTTTATTTTATTGTTCAATGTTTTCTTAACCCTATTCTATTCCAGTTTTGTTGGCATTGTACATAGTAGATTTGGAAATAAGATTTGAGGGAAATGACTTGTGTGCATATCACTAATAGACCTTTAGGAATTATTATACAAAGCAGTGGATTGCTGAATATGCATCATATTTAAAAATAACCACATGCATCCTTTGAAAAGGAAGGCTATTGGTCTTTGTATCAGCAACCAGAGAAATTGTCTCAGTTCTGTTTGTAAATTTATTGTAATTTTGTAAATAAACCTTCTTGTTATATTATGTGTTTTGATTGTTTTGTTTAAGTGTAACTGCAGTGCAAGTAGGAAATTAGTTCTGCAACTCTACTTACAGTTTATATAACTGTAGCTAAATTCTGAACCAAGAATAAACATGCTGTAATGACTTTCTGAACCAGTTATCACAACTGATAGGTGTCTCAGAGGTCCAGGCTCCAATTTTTAGATGAAATAAAATATTAATAATTGCAAAACTTAACCCTGGGTAGGGTTTCTGAGGAGCAGCTGGTAAGCTTGAACCGCCAACCTAGCAGTTCAAATGGCTTGCAGTCTGGCGCATTAACCCACAGCGCCACATCAGGCTTCCAAAACTTAACATAGTGACATTTTATTTTAAGAACACAAATTGTATGAAAGTTTTTTTAAATTTTTTATTTGTGAATTGAGTGAAGGTTTACAGACAAGATCATCAGTTTTATATCCTAATCATGCAGTGATTGAGGATTGAGATGAAATCCTTGAAATGATTTGAGATGATGTAGCCATTGAGATGAAACAAATCCTATGCTTTGTTTCATCTCAGTGATTGCAATCCCATCCATGCAGCAACAGTTATCCTGCTTCCTCCCTGTGACTCCTGTTTCCCTTCCAACCACCTTCCCAGCCCTTTGTCCTTAGGCACACATTGCCCCTTTGATTTTGATGATTGACCATTCTGTCATTAAGAGTGGACATACCTTACTAGTGTTGTTGTCCCGCCTATATATCTGTGTGAACGTTGGGCCATGAGGGTGAGTTCATTTCCAGACCTGAAGGGTGGACAAGGACTGTAGTCTCAGGTTCTTTCAGTCTCTGATAAGTAAACCCTCTTCCCCCGCCCCCCCTTTTTTTTTTAAATACTGTGTTTTGATCTACGTGTTCTGCTCTAACCGTGACCTAATATAATCCCTTTCAAAGCATTTGGTAGTGATAGCTGGGCACCATCAGGTTCTTCTGGTCTCAGAGTCATGGAGACTGATGGACTGATTGATTCCAAGCCTCTTCGGTTCTCATCACTCTTCTGCTGTACATGGAAAGACTAATTGCTCTACCCTAATAGCTTATGAGCTATTAAGATCCCTGGTGGTACTCACCAAAGTAGTATGCAGAACATTGTCTGTGTGGACTACGTTATGCCAGTTTACCATGGTGTCCCCTGAGACTGATCCCGAGCCCCTAGGTTCAACTACTCCTTGTAACAACATTTCCTTCCTATCCCTTGTATTCATTTTGTATTGCTGCTGTCACAAATTACTACAAACAATAGCTTAAATCAAACATTAATTTTCTTACAGTTCTAAAGATAAGCACAACATGGTTTCCCTGGATTAAAAATCAAAGTATGGGCTGAGCTGCATTTCTTTACATGCCAGGTTCTAGAGAACACCTGTATCCCTTGGCTTGTGGTCCCTCCCATTTTTTTCTTTTGTTTTGAAATTTTTTGTTGCTCTTCCATTTTGTAAGCCAACAAAAGAAAGTCTCATGCTGTATCACTCAGATTCTCTGCTGATGCTCGGCCTCCTGACTTGATAATCTAGTCTTCACCTAGTTTTCAGTTAATCAACTTCCGTCTCTCTCACCACTTAACACAGCATAATTACCAGGGATGGGACTCAAAACTGTTAAGGGGGAATCATTTATCTATCTATTTACCACAGATGTACAATCCACATCTTCCCCCTGAACGTTACAAATATATGCTCCATCAGTAGTCATAAAAGACTTAACTATAGTATGTAAGAACCAAATTAAGTTTTTATGAGATTTGTTTTTTTTTTAAGTTTTGTCATGTCCAAGCGTTATGTGCTGCTGAGTTGATCCTGACTCAAAGCAACGCTGTAGGACAGAGCTACCCCATTGAGTTTTCTAGGCTGGAATAGTTTATGAGAGCAGATCGCCAGGTCTTTTCACCCTCAAAACTGCTGGTGGGTATGAACTGCCCACTTTTCATTTAGAAGCCAAACAGTTCAGCCACTTGCCACCAACACTCCTATTTTGTGGGTAGATTTCTAAATGTGTGTATGTTAAGTGCCAATTGTTAAAAGTGCTATCGAGTCCTTTGTGACTCAGCTACCCCATGTGGGGTCTCTAAGGCTGTACATGTGTGTAAGAACAGAAAGCTTCCTCTCTGTCCCACAGAATGGCTGCTGCGCTGGAACCATGGACCTTGTGGTTTGCAGTGCTTAGCCTTCAGAACCACTGTATTTCTACATAGGCAGTTACTGTCTTGTATTTTGATTCCTCAGTGTCTCCTTCAGTGAAAATAATGTCGACGTATTCTTTTCTGTTAGGTGTTTCCAGCTCCTAAGCAACCCTGTGAACAATAGAACCAACCACTGCCTGGTCCTGTACTGTCCTCACATTCACTGATATGCTGAGCTTACACAGTTGCAGCCAGTGTATCCATCTCCTTTGGGGTCTTCCTCTCTTTCGCTAATCACCGACTTCATAAGCACAATGTAGTTCCTTCTCAAGGACTGGTCCCTCTTGATAATGTGTCCAAAGTGAGACAAAGTCTTATCCTCTTCCACTTCTAAGGAGCATTCTGGCTATACTTCGAAGATCGTTCTCGCAGTCCATGGTATGTAGATTCAGTATTCTTTGCAAACAAGATAGTTTAAAAGTATCAGTTCTCTGGTCTTATCCACCTTAGTTCTCAAACTGACATCTTTGCTCTTAAAACACTTTAAAGAGGTCTC